TATCTTGTAATGGTGATTGACGGCGATTTTGTTCTTCACAACGTCGACTTGTTAATTAAGTTTCTTCAACTCACTTTTCACCTCTAGTTGTGGAATCTGAAGACCCATCTTCGATTTTTGAAAACGTTCTTCAGTTTTTCCCATCTTTCACTATTCTTCGATCGACAAAAGCTTCTGCTGCAGCGAACGAAGCTCGGGCTTCGATTCGAACGAACGTTGTTTTTCAGGTACGGTGAATACGTTGTCGCCGGTTCCGATGACGGTCAGTTTTTCATATGGGAGAAGAAGACCGGAAACATAGTGCGGATTTTGCACGGTGACGAATCGATCGTTAACTGCTTGCAGCCCCATCCAAGCGTCTGTCTGCTGGCGACTTCTGGCATCGAGACTGCGGTCAAGCTCTGGGCACCGAAAGCGCAGGTACCTTTGTTCACTCGTCAGTTCGTGCGTATTCCATTTACAGCGAGCTGGCTCTTGAACATGAACTAACAGCCATCGATTAGACCATACTCGTTAACCCAACAGTTTGCAAGTACTCTAGCTGACTGCTAAAGTTCATTCCGGTTCAGCGCGAGGGATTAGCTTCAAAATCAGCCTTTCAAGAAACCAACTGTTATAAATTCTTTGAGTATATATAGCAATAACAAGTATTTCCTGCATATGAAGTTTCCAACAGATCCAGCCACTGGTAATGAACGAATTTAACTTTTTACAACTTTATTGCATTTACATATAAGATATCGTAGTAAAGATCGGCAAGGAAATAATTCGACCGGACGGACCAGGAATCAGGTTTCGTCATCCAAGAAGAGAGATAACTACGGCATATTTGACCGGCTATGCAAGGGGCACGCCAACTCTAGATGCGAGATCGTTACAGACTTTGTCCCGATTCAAAATAGTCGCGCATTCATTCATTTCTTGCTAAACTAGTCAAATAATAAAAAAAAATTTATGTAAACGCTGTTCTAAAGGACAGACCAGCTCTTTTGATGAAGGCGGTTAGAAGTGTGGAATAAATATTTTTTATAAGTGAAGGGTTCCGAATCCATAGCTGTGTTACTTCTTAGGCACAAATTGATAATATACAAAGAAGATGCACTGATCGTAAAGCTCAGCAGACATATGAAAGTATGATTCTAACGGTCAGTCATACATTTGGGTTACTCCGGTGTATAAGTTCTGCTTGCGTTTGATACGGTGACGAAACAACAAACGGCATATGATTTATGCATTGTGAATAAGAAAAGTAGATTAGTAAGTAGAAATGAGGTAAAGGAAAATGAAATGCGTAAAGATGAATGAAGAAAATGATGAAAAAATGCGGAGGTAATGATGAATTAAGCTTCAGAGATATTTCATGTTATTTGAACCTCAGCTTAGATAATTTAATTTCTGTTGTGTAGCTACTGCGTAATCTCTACCCTTTGTAAATACTGAGAATCTGCGCTGAAATGCCATTTTGTATCCACGCTTTCTAGGTGCTAAAATGCAATTGAACCGTGGCCTGTTTAAACGGCCCCCTTAGCTACTAGATGTAAGGGGACGGTACATCTATGCGATGTAGCTCCGGAGAATTGATAAGAGATTGCTATTCTTACTGCATAACTGGCATTTTTTGCAGTTAGTAGACCCATAGCACCGGGGATTTAATCTTTCATTTCTTCTTGTTTATCTTCGCCATATTTTATGAATTTCATCTTCTTTTATCTCACTTTTCCTTGCTCGTCGTGCATTTCAGCGTCACAGTGTTTTAATCAAATATCGTGTTGTTGTTGCGTCATCGTATCAAGCACAAACGGAGCTTGTACAGCAGAGTTACCCAAATTTATGATTGACTGTTAGAAGCAGACTGTCATATGACTGAGCTTTATGACTACCACATTTTTTGTATATTATTAACTTATGCTGAAGAAGGAGCACCGTTATCCGAACACTTCACTTATTAAATGTTTATTGTAGCCTTCTATCCGTCTTTATCATTATTTATTGTCATAAAGGCCTGATTGTTTTTTTTTGAAAGTGAGTTTGTATGGACTTTTTGTTTATTATTTGATTGGTTTAGCACGGAATGAGAGAGCGCGCGAGTGTTTTGAATCAGAACAAGGTCCGCAATATTCTTGTATCCAAAGATGGCGTGCCACCTGCATATTTGCCCAAACATAGTGTAGTTTTCTCTCCATTTTGATGGCGAACCTTATTCCTGGTCGATCGTTTGATTTCAGAGGGGATGCAGAGTTGCAAGAATTTTTATGACGTAAATTTAGATTAAAGCCTGGAATACAACTTGACAAAGCTCAAAGATTTAAGCGGAACATCGATCCTCGCTTTAAATCCCTTTCTTCAAGTGAGTTATGAAAGGCGCTCTTACGACTGTTTTAGGAAGGAGGTGGTTTTTTATGTTCTTACTTCCATAATACTTTCATCTAATCAGCAATAATTTGTCAGCGCTCTGTTGCAAAGAAATACCTGTGATGCGTGTTAGTCATTCTGGATTCATGCTTCCATCATAAGACTAATCTGATTCGGTCAGGTTATTCCGTTATCCATCTGCCGTCATCCATTCTTCTATCCTGCACAAGTGATTGGCTGCAGTGATCAGGTAATGATAGGGCATAAGTGGCTAGCATTTGCGCAGTACGATGGTGGCTGGGTTAACGTCCTAAGTGTCAAAATGAACTGCTCGAAATATTACTTTGGACATGTGCTATGACATTCCCTACACATCCTCTCATTTGGTGCAAACTTTGTGGTCCCAGCTTTCGTCAAAGCACAATTACTTTCTCACTGGAACTTTAACAGTTTTGCAAATCTTCCAATCTTAATCATGACTCCGTTATCGTATAAGGCTCTTCGTTCAGAAAATGGAACATGACCTCGCCAAGTTTTACCTGTTCCACATATGGTTCATCAAGTTGAAATGCAAGATCGTGGCGGATGTTGTTAAAAAGTCAGCGGTGTGCACTTTATAATTCCATACTAAACTAATGCAAAAAATATCTAAATGCTATGAAATAATTTAAAGATTAATTTATTACCGTTCGTTGGAAACTTCTTCTGGAGGATAATGTGCATACATATTCGAAAGTGACCATTTATTCAACCAATAGACTAAGAAATGTTCATGCTGAAAGTAAAGACATAAAGGGTAGTGCTCGATCCATAGTCAGAGAAAGTAGTAATTTTAATCATATGTTGATCAGGTAACAACTTCACTACAGAGGATTTCGTGTCGATAGTGGAAGCTGGTTGATAAATTCGTTCCAGTGCGAACTTAGTTCCATGTCAACATTTCATTGGTTCGATTGAATTACCAGGGCTTCCTTTATCTTTTGGCTAAAACAGTACTTTTCTGTGTATTGCAGTCATTCGTCCTCAGTCTGTAGTGTCGTTTTTGTACTGTGTGTAATTCATAGCAGCAGCCGAGTTCTTTTCGCTTAAGCGAACTCTGTGTATTATTTTCGATTCTTGACAGTTACTTTACTGTTCGCCGCATAAAGAATATAGCAGTGTATACACAGCAGCTGCATAAAAGCTAGTTTTCCACTTATAGTGTCGTTTTTCTTGATTGAGTAGTTTCATAATTGATAGCGTAATTGCTCTACGTACCGCTAGTGGTAGTAGGCAGGTACAGCTGGTTGCATTATTCGACAGTCCTTGCGCATCATATGTGGTTTTTTCACTTTGTATTACACACTTCATTTTTTAAGGATGGAGCTAACGATCCGCTGATAATAACAGATTTCGACACGGCTACCATAGCAAACCAGCGGCGAATGAACGCCGATCCACTTGAACTGATGTTAATGAACATCGGCTATCAAATGGCCACTCGTTCAAACGACGACGCCGAATCCGATACCGGTGGTCACTCGAGGGTGCCGGCAATACAGTGCCGTCAGATTTGATTGGCAGCGTTCAGACTTTCTGTTCAAAGTTCGTTTTCAGTAAGAAGTGTTGCACATTAGTTGTATTTGAACGGTTTGTCGTATTTACGAATGAATTGTACGTATACGAAGGTTTCGATTCACCGTGCTCGTAAGGCATTCGAGAAAATTTTAATAAAACTCGTCTAACCAGTTACATGTGCGCTAAGTTTTCACGCTGTTTCTTCACGTAACAGTATATTTACACGTATTGCTTGCGAATTCAAGTTTAAACGACAACTCTCTGCATAGTAAAAGGCAATGCTACAGTTCAGAAACGGGTGGGAGATGTGTTCGTTCAGTCTGGCTGTTGACCGCCAGATCGCCACAGTTCAGACCAGCACCGGCTTGGCGTCGGACGTTTTGCCGAGTAGCTGGTAGTCGTTAGCTCTGAGGATGCGGTACTGCCACGCGCCCTTGTAGATCGCCGATCGGTTCGTGTACGCGATGCACAGCAACAGTAGCAGGAGACCGACCACGGCCAGACCGCAAACGATGTACACACCGTGCGTGTAACTGCCGTCGTCGTCACCGCATTTCAGGTTTTGCTCCGGCACGCGTAACAGGGATAATGCTTCGTACTTGGCCGGCAGCGCCGTGGCACACACCGTGTGTTCCTTGCGGACTACCCGTGGGTTGTTCTTGAACCACTTGATAAACGGGGCCAGTTCGCATGTGCATTTGAACGGGTTACCGTCGAACGACAC